GATCCACAATTCAATGAGGCAGCCTACTAGACGGTGACTCGGCAAATCTTTTGCACCGAGGCATTGTTCCAACGGACCAACTTGAACGGGCCTGCTTAAGTCCTGTAATATTAGAGGATTGGAGGATGACGGTCGGCTTACAGTACTTAAAAAAAATATAAAAGTGAACTTCCAAATTTCTTACTTACACTGGCATACCCGCTGCATTGGCAGTGTTTGGAACCCCTAACTTTTTAGATTGACAGCCGGAGGGCCACCCGGGTCCTTCAATTGGTGGCCCAACGAGCCACCCGACCACATGACCATTGGTGGCCCAACCCCACTGCAAAATGAGGATTTTCGACTGCTTTCTTGAACGATCGACAATGAAAATAATAGAGCGCATATACTACGTTTGTCGTAGTGCTACACTGGCACCTTTTTTGGACCCCGGGCTGAAGTTTGGTCGGGTGCAGTGGCAAAACAGCCCGGCTCGAAGGGGTTTTCACTCAAATACAGTGCATTTTATGCCAATCTGACAGTCTTTTTCGGAGATATCGTGAGGATTTCAAGCTTGTACGCCCTTTGACTTCTAAAGTAGGCCAGTTCGGTGCATTGATTGATGGCCCACCGGGCCACCTTGGCCCTCAGTATGGTGGCCCGTCGGGCCACCTCCACCCCCCCATTGGTGGCCCGTTTGGACCATTGATGGCCATTTTAGCAGGGAGTGGGCCACCAGGGGAAAGTTGAAACACTGCTCAACTGCTGCATACACTGCAGTACACTGCATACCTACATACATACATAAGGTAAAAATATACGTGGCTGTACGGCGTGAAGTGTGAGAAGTGGTGACGGTGCCAGTAGCGCCGAAGTGGTCACGTGTCGGACGTGCGCCGCGGCCCGCCCCTCAACCACCGCGGCCGCTCCTCAACCACCAGTGATCGGGCTTCAGATGTTGACGTCACGCACTGCCGGACTCCAGAATGCATCATTCACTGATTGGCGTACCGACTCCCGCCGAGGCCCTCGGACTCCGGAGATGGAACCCAACAAAAATAATGGTATTAGCCATGAGATACCGTAACAGCATAAGGTTACCCCACTGGGACGGGTAGGGTTAGTTTGGTGGTTAGGGTGGGTACGGAGGCAGGCTCGGGACTCGTCACTCGGGAGTGAAGCAGGCTGCAAAGACTTGACTGACGGCGTGCTAGGTACTAGGTATAAAGATATTTCAGCCCGTGACTCGGTCCGAGTCACCGGTGACCGAATCGGACCGAATTAATGACTACCCCACTGGCGGCCGTGGTTTCAGGTGTACGGAATGTGGTCCACAGTGCACACTGCACATACCGGTATGCAGCATCCGAAAGTTGATCACAGTCGGCCGCCGTCAGATCGACGACGGACTACCTACTAGGAGTCTAGGACTAGTTTAGGAATAATAAGAGCTAGGTATAACATGGGTCGCCGTCTGTGTGACGGCGGACGCCAATGCCTCTTCCTTGATTATTTCTCCGATCAACGGTTGACAATCTGATATTGCTTTCGATCGTCGAAAGCTCGTTTGAACGGTGTGGATTGTTTAGCCGTAACACCACCGACCAAGCAAGCACGAAACTTCGTCGTCGAAGTCCGCGAACATGCACGAAGCTCGACACCGGGACTTGCACCATGCAGTGGTCGGACCAAAATGTTCGATCCGTAAGCTGCGAACTGCGCCGCGAGCGGGCTCAGTCGGACCAAATCTCGCCAAATTATTTTGACAAATTTATAGGCCGTACGCCGAGTTTTATCGTCGAAACGGGCCAAGCGAAGCAGGTCCGACGGCGGGCCCGCAGAGCGGCGCCGTAAGGCGGCAAAAATCCCGATTTGTATGGATGCCCTCTTCCCTTCAGGAAGAGGCAAGCCAATATAGCTTCAAATAACACTAAAGCCCTAACCAAACAATTCACGCGCTCTGGAGTCCGCACCCGTACCCACCCTAACCCCCAGACTAACCCCACCCGTCCCAGGCTGGTAAGCTTATACCTGCCGCTTATTATAAATAGGTAGTCTGAGTTGTCAGATCGATCTATCATCTAGGTATCTTTTACATCATGGACACGTCACTGCTGCTCGCGGCGCCGGTACGGACTCGGCAGTCGCTGGACTTAAATGTCCGTTTTCTTCTACCATCTTCCAGATTCCAGATTCCGAGTACTCGCTCTGCAGCGGCCTGCACACTGCACAGTGCACTCACTGCACTGGTGTCCTTCGCAAAAATGAAGGAAAGTGCACTTGCATATGTACTGGGTAGCTGGAATACCTACCTATGCCGAAGATACCAGCAGGACCTATTCGAGCCTTCGAGGATAATACGTGATACCTAAACTGTATGTGAAAGTTTCCATTGCTCTCTCTAGACAGGGTTTGGAAGCAAACATGGTTTCCGGGGTTGCTTAGAAGTATCCCGGTCTCGTTTGACGTTCTTCTAGCTTCTGCAACCTATAGTCTAGTATAGACCCTTCTCGCGAATACCATGCAAAGGCTGCACTTGCTCGTCTAATCTTGCCGTGCAGCTAGACCATCTAGCTGGCAGTCCAAGAATCACAAGTCGTGCAGCTAGAACAGGTCTCGATAGAGAGTATATTTAAAAGAGGAAAATCCGGGAATCTTGTAACTTCTTTCAACCATCTCTGATTGCAGTTTCTCAGCTCCGACTTCCTCTATTCCTCGTCCACTAGCTGACATTCTCGGCCTCTATTAGTCTCCCATCAAGCGCATTCCTAGCCAAACACCAGCTGAACGTTCTCAGCTCGGACGTCGCAAAATCCAGCAGCTACAGCATTCGCAGATTTTCAGCAATGGCGCAGTGCAGCACTCTCCAGGAGCTGTTCTCCGTGAAGGACAAGGTAGCGCTCGTGACCGGGGCTTCCTCGGGCATTGGCCTCGCGTTCGCCCGGTTTCTCGCGGGCCAGGGCGCCAAAGTTGTTCTGGCTGCTCGTCGAGCTGAAAAGTTGGAGGCGGCAGTGAAGGTGAGTCGCTCCAGACTAAGGGGCATCTCAAGGTCAAATTTGAACTCAACAATGCAATGAGTCGTCACAAACAAAGGGGCATTCTAGGGTCAGAGGCAAATGCACAATGCAATGCTGAAAACAATTCTGATCTTGTGGAGAGTGTTAGCCCCCCTCATTGGTCTGAGGGGTTAAGGTGATTCCTCAAGCCATTCTGGAGGTCACTATGATAGCCAATCGATTGTGTGACATGATATTTGGTGATGCATATGTTGCTGTGAGCCTTCAGATGGTAATGCAGCTAGGAATAGGGGACTGGGCAGCTGGTGGGTCCTCGAATTGGCAATGCAATAAGTGGCCATGAGGCAGCGGAGATAGGTTTTCTTGGTTTCTGGCTGAGAATTGCTTTTCAGTGCTGCAAGAGCATCCTGTTTGACTTGTCCATAGGTGAATGTATGACCAAAGTTTCCTGCCATGTGCTTGCGGGGTACAATGCTTGAGGGCAGGCATACAACGGAGAGCACAGAGTATCTGAATGCCTTCTGAAGCATCCTACTCAAAAACGTTACAAACTGAGGTCTCTTTGCTCTATAGCCTTCTTTTGCTTACCATGATTCTTAATCTTGTGGTCAATTGTTTTTTACTGCCTGCTCTTAAAGATCTGAGTCGGGCCATCTGTTCACAAAGCATTTTCTTGCCATGTCACTTTTTGAAATGCAACATCAGGGAATTAACCCTGTTCATCATAAGATCGGCAGTTCAAACTTTGACAGGCCTCCACTCACTTCTTGACATGCTTCCATGTCCATGACAGTCCAAAACTTAGCAGACCTTTAGAGAGCTTATCATCTTTGCGTTATCTCATTGCAGGATATCAAAGCCACTGGGGGGGAGGCGTCTGCAATCAGCCTGGACGTCTCCAAAGGCAGGGACACTATTGCAGAGGCCGTTACCAATGCGGCGGCAGTCTACGGCCAAATTGATATCCTGGTAAGGATTGAGCCCCGATGAATGTCAGGCCCCGTGTTGGTCAAGAAAATGACGTTCCATTCTCCAACATGCGTATGTCGCGTCATGCTGAGGTCGCCGGAGTCAAAAGGTTTGTTAGAATTCAGCACATCTTGTCTTCCTTGCTCAAATGATTTTCTGCAGGCTATTCAATTGCAAAGCAAGAGGTCATTCCCAGCACCCTTGTCTCCACTCTTTCTTCTCTTTTTGGCAGTGGGTGATTGCGCTTCCTGACCGCTCCAACTTCCTCTTCTCCAGGTGAACAATGCGGGGGTCTTTACTGGCGGAAGCGTCTTGGACGACACCCAAGAGCAGTTTGACACCACCTACGGCGTCAACGTCAGCGGCATGTATTTCACCGCCCAAGCGGTGGCTAAGCAAATGATTGAGAAGGGGATCAAGGGACGCATCATCAACACGGCGTCGATTGTCGCAACCGTGATCCCCCCGGGCACCGCGCTCTACTCGTCGTCCAAGGCGGCGGTGGTTTCTCTGACCAAGTAAGCTGCTCTCATCGTTAGTGCAGAAAGTAAGGTGCTCTGACTGTCGATGCAGACAGGGACCAGTTCTTGCTTCATTGCCTGGTCAGTGTCTGGTTACTGTGTCTTTGTTAACCTCTTAAAGCCCCCCAGCACCGAGGTTTATTCGCCCACTAAGGTGGCTGTGGTGTCACTCAATCATTGAGCAAAAAGAATCCAGTTCCGGTTGAAGCCTGGTTGCTGGCTGGTTAGCGTGTCTGGTCGAGTCACTCGGTGCTTTGCTCAGTCTCTAGTCAGTCTTTCTCTGCTCATTGCTGCAAGGACGTCATGTCCCCATGGACTGGAAGTGGTCTTGACTGCATTTGGCTGTCAGAGGGTTGCCAAGAATCAGACTTAGTGGAATTCTACGGTATTGCATATGGAGCCACCTTGATTGGAGGTTTCAAGCATGGCGAAACTGCACGAAGCAGCTCATACACAAGCAGGTGTGCGTAAGCACTCCCTAGAGAAGAAGCACCGCAAGCAATGTGCTTTCCCTGGTAAGGCATGACCGAAGCTCTCAAGATTTAAGAAGCCTCTGGGCACACTCGAAAAGCAGAAGAGAAGCTGACCCTAAAAGCGTCGAGGCCCTCACTCTCTGAGCATCTAAACGTCCTCAGATTCCAAGACACCTCTGGGCACACTCAAAAAGGAGAAAGAGAAACTGACCCTCAAAGCCTCAAGAGTATCTAAAACCTAAAAATCTGAGCTAAAAACTAGTGTTAATTCCGCTCTACAGGGGCCTGGCGGCAGAGCTGGCCTCGAAGGGCATCAACGTGAACTCGATCTCGCCTGGCGTCTTCCCGAGCGAGATGTCCGACGGAATTGTGGAGAGCGCCGGCAGCAAGAAGGCGCAGCAGGCTGTACCCGACCAGAGGTGCGCATTGATTTTCGCCCTCATTTCTAGTTGCAATATGGCTTGTCAGACCCGGCCGCTCAAGCAAGACACTCGAGAACGTTGATCGGTCGTTTGGTTGTCAAACCAGATTGAGTCGTCGAATCGCTCGTGTTTTGCACCTGGGCAAAAGTTCGAGCGTAGTCGAGGCGGTTGGATTTAGGTGGCAAGTGAGAATGTGGGCAACCTAGAAGGGCTGATGGCTACATCTTTGCTCTATCTCGGCCCGTCTTTCCGTGTCCTCCCTCTAAAGTACCCACCATAAGCGGCCGCCCCGCTTTGCTGCGTAACGCCGTAGCGTCCCTTCAGTATTTTAGCGAGTACAACGGTCCCACCGCTTGTCCTGAGGCCAAGTCTTCTCTTCCTTGGTTCAAAACCACTTCTTGCAGCCACATGCTCCTCTTCTTTTGCTACTGTAAGCGTAGCATAGTACAACACAAGTCGGATGCAATATGACACTTTCAGAACAACGTCGGTATGCTCTTGCGCGGTCCAACTCTCGACCTCACCGCACCCTTGACCCGCCCTTTCGTGCAACAGTGTTTCTTTCTTCGGCTTAGACAGAATCATCAACTTACCTCGTCCTTCGTCAAACTAGGTGGGGCGACACCGAGCACGACATGATGGGCGTGCTGCTGCTGCTGGCGTCGGAGAAAGCGTCCGCCCATCTAGTTGGTGTCAACATTAACGTGGACGGCGGACACTCCCTCTACACGTTTAACTTGACCGACCCGACCTCCGTTTTCGAGGACAAGCTGACGGAGCAGAGCGACCACTAGAGGCCCAGCGAGGGCGGTGGTCGCCACAATCTGCAAAAACTGTGTATACCTTATTAGAGTTCATTAAGCTTACCGGGCGACCAGTAGTAAACGCAACGAGAGTGGTGGTCGCCGGACTTAGCAATCGTTTGTCACAGTGTTGTACGATAATGACTTGTGGTTACTTAATGTTGCTTTGGGTTATCGTGCAATTTTGAGATTGGTAGTGTGGTAGTTCAAGGATAAGATAGAGCTACAGAACTACGATAAGCTGCCGCGATCGAGGGGCTCCAGCTGAGCTTCTTAAATGCTGAAGCATAGACACGACTGCTGAATGCGACACAATGTTGTACAATTTATCTGATGTTATGTTACGAGCTGCGTGTTGTACTGGTTGTTCGAGTGTGTTTTGTCGGAAGCATTGCAGCGAAGGGATTGGTCAGCATATTGGCTTGCCTATTTACGAAGTAAATATGCGAACCTTTGGTTTGCTACCAGCCGCTCTTCGGGCGACGCTGTATGACGCCGCTCTGCGGAAGATAACGATGCGGAGTCTAGCTTGTTTTGAGGTTGTCCCTGGTTCGATACGAAAACGTACGCAAAATCCCCCAAAAGATCCACACCTGGTCCGGGGCCAAGGACAGACTGGGCCGCGCGCCTTCGTGATTTACTGCTACGCATCGAACGCGGACGCGAGTGGGCCGCCGCAAATCAACGTAACCATGTAACGTTCACCCTCGATTTCTCCAACCAGAGTTTTTGTAGAGCTGCCACGTGACATTCCGAGTTCTACGAACTCGTGCTAAGTTGCCACGTTGAAGTTGGTACCTCTGCCAAGCGCCTGACACTGCCTCGTAACCCGGTCATTGAGTGCAGAAAAAAGAAATTAGAATACCCTTGACTGCAATGGACTCCATCAGTATTGCACCCAAAGTTTGGTAAAGATGCGTCAAAGTGCCCGGGAAGAGGGAAGCCTGGTGACCTGGTATGCGCTGCACATCGCTTACAGTACGCACCGTACGAGGCTGTACGGACCCTTGCGCTGAAAAAATCCCAGAACAATCTTCAGAAAATCACTGCATAGCTCTGTTACTCCGGTGGGAATTTACGAATATTTTCATGGAGGCTGTTGGGCGCCTGGATACTTGCCACACACCGCAGGCTTTCCTGCCACCTGCGGCACATAGTTCGGTAGGCGGATCTCGACTATAGGCATTCCTATCGTAGGCGTCCTAGGTACAATCCCGGGAGACCGGGACTGATCCGCAATAGCCAGCAAACGTACTTTGTAAAATCCGCCCGGTCGCCCCACAGAATAGGCAAGCCCCCACCGCCCTCCCGGGCGGTCTACCATGTTCTAAATACCATGGTCGATTATGGAATATGATGACGTTGCTTAAGATGGCTCCTGATAGGGACACTTATATATAAAGAAACTGGAATTGACGGTTTGATCCATGAGCCTTCAGAATCATCAAACTTAATTGGCAATCATCAATGCGAATTTGCATCACATGAGCACTTGCAATGATGAGCTCCTTACTGGCCCGTTGGATACGTATCACTGAATATACTAAGCTTCTATTGTTCCCCGTCATGACCCCAATATAGTATCAAGTAGATACCTAGCTACCGGGAGTCCAGTTTGTCGTACCCACGCGTCAAGACTGTCTGGTCCCTTATATTTGTCATCAATTGACCTTTCAGAGGAAAGCCGGATCAACGTGAATGGACCGTGAATGTCAGACTGCACGATAATCATATGCAGAGCTTCAGCTAACGTGATTGCTTCGGGTTCATCACATGCGAAAAGGATACGTATGCGCAGATACATATTGCAATGAATGGTTCTGATTGCAGAACGTACGTGAAGATTCCACGATCCATGATGGATTTCTGGCATGCAGATCGGCTTGCATATAGTCACTAGCTGGATATCGATTACCGGTATACAACATTGAGAAATGTCACGAACCCGCATGCAAATCGCATCTAGCTGTCCAATGTACACGGCGGCATCAGTCGGATTAGAAGCTCTGGTGCCATTGTCTGGTAATTGATTGGGCTGTAGATACTAATCAAGGCCGGTGACCTTACACATGCAAGGTGTTAGCAAACGTGATAATTGCAAGTGGGATCTCATATGGAGCCTTGTAAACGTTGATTGTTCTACAAAGGCGGTGCGTACGTCAGCTGGTCGGCGGCAACATACGTCATCAACATTGGCCGGACATTGGGTTTCCTAGCTACTTTCTTGAGTCGTACATCCCTGAGGGAGCCCTCAAGGACTTGCTAAGTGTCTGGTACGGCGGAGCCTGACCGAGCTTTGGTGACCGTAATCGACTAAATTGGGCTATGCGCTGCTGGAGCTGCAAAAGTAGCGTATAGGTAGTATACCACTGCGGCCCTCTCTCGCAACTAGTACCTGGCATGAACTATTCAATTTCTGCTGCTTATGCGCTAGTCTCTTTCAACGTAAACCAATGTTGATCGTATCATTACGAACGTCTCAATTGAAGCTTCGAAAAACAATCTTTGACCGGTAGCAGCCTCTACCTCAAACACATGCGCCGCGGGTATAAAGGGCTAAGACTTAGCAAGATACCACCTCTGTATTTAAGGTCAAAAGCAAGTAAAGAGAAGGCCTGCGCTCAGGCATTCTAGGGGTGCAGTCAATGACTGCCAAAAAGCCGTAATATCTAAGGGCTCTTCTGAGGGTTCTTGATGACCAGAGTCGCCGCCTACACGAGGGGAAATGGGATCAGCCAACAAATCGAAGAACAAATAAAAATGCAGACTGCAGAAACAGATTCACGGTTGATTGGAGCCGCAGGTCGCTTTGGACACATCCAAAAGGGAACGTAGTCGCAAATTGCAACGAATTCACTGAGCAAGTTGATCAACCAGTCAGGATGAGTACACCGGTCTCAGGACCCGCAAGAGTAGCCGGGACAAGCTGAGAAAGATCTGCGCCCTTGGAGGAGACGCATCAGACCATCAAAATCACCACTCTTGAGTATCCAGCAGCGGAGGAGGAATTGGGCTTTGATTCTTTCTCTAGCTGGCGGGAGAATGAGAATGACCAACTTAAAAGCATGCTCGAGTACGACGAGCACGGCTTGAAGATAAGAGCAAGTCGAAAACAGGGACAAACTTACCTCTTCGCCGAGAAAGAGCGTGTCTCCGTCGCTTAACCTATACTCGTCTCCCGGTCGAAGCCGAAAGCTGGAACAAGCACGATAAGGAGACCCTTCAGCCAACGGCCGGAAAGGCACGCACAGCCGAACGCGCCACTTTACAAAACGAAGCGACTGACTAAGTGCAATGATAACAGCTTAAAGATAGCACGACATTATAAGGACACGCGTTAACATCGATACCCCGTCCTAAGAAGTTTGGGTGTGCTATTTGCGACGTGAGGCTCTCTTGAAACAAACCGGGTCTGTCCCCGCTGACCTGTAAGAGCAGTGTTATCGAGGGAGCTCTGCTCAAAGAACAGAGAGAAGCAGATCTGTCTACTCATCCTGAAAGAACGGAGGGGTGCGCTTCTGCAGCTCCGCAACAAGCTTTGAGCAGTTGAGAAGGCCGACCGCAGTCGAGAAGTCGGGTCGAGGACCTGGCACGACTTCAAACCGGCCTTCGGAGCCCGAACGTCTTCAAATCTCAGCCGAAATTTTCCTAACTTTCAAGTACGATCTTATGCCGGCGTCACGTTGCGCTCGCCCATCAGGCCCATCGCCAGGTCCCCAAGAGCTGACCCTTTTTTAAACGGTTCGGCACAGCTCCCTATGAATCGCTTTACAACAGGTCGGCCCTGCGAGGAGGGCTAGCTCCCGGTCAACCGCAGCGTGATCGTAGATGCACAGTGTGCCGATTTTTCCAAAGACCAAGTAGACTTGACAAACTCACGTGCGGTTGAGCCTGACGCCGTTGGTGCTCTTAAGGTCCACCACAAAGTACTCTCGCACGTACTCGCCGTAAGAGAAGACCTCCTTGCCGAAGATCTTGGCATGCACTCTTGACACCTGCGCAACAACACGCTTTCTTAGAGGTGCTGAAAATAACCGCTCGGAGCATCTGGCAGCAGGAAAGAAGAATGAACGGTTCACTGAGTATGGCGTTTAAACGATGGAGAAGGTATTGTCGAACTTTCTTAAGATTGCGGAGAGTCGCTGAAGGCGCAGTCTCGTCGTCAAAGATTGAAGCAAGATAACATCGTCACCGTCACGCGGCCAAAAGCGGCAATCTCCTGCTTTCTTCATCGTCACGAAACTTTCTTCACCCAGAAACATGCAGGAGGCAACCCTCACCGTTGGATAGTCCAATTGAACCGGAACCACCTTCTCCATCCTGCTGACGTCAGACCCGACGATGAGTGGCATCTTTCCGATGCTGATCGGTCCTTCCTTGCCGTCTTTTCGAACGACCGTCCAAACGGGTCCGTATGGCGGCAGCCCGAGCGCGCGTTTGGTGGCTTCCCGCTCCTGAATCCACCTGAGAACGGGTGACGTCAGCAGCTGGCGTCAGGAACTGATAAGAGGGCCCTCTGTGTGGTTCCCGCTCTTGGATTACTGGGCAGGAGTGACGTCAGCAGCTGGCGTCGGGAGGTAATTAGGGGACACTCTGGGTCGCTCCCGCTCCTGGACCAACCTGAGAGGGAGTGCCGTCAGCAGTTGGCATTTGCAGGTGGTGAGGGAACGCACCATATGGTGAATTGAGTCTGGTTTGGGCAATTCGTGCGAAGTCCGAACGATTCGCAAGCAAGAAAGACGTAGGCGTGCTTGACAGCTTCCTCTCTGCAACCCAACTTGCAATGACAGAAACCGAAGTGAAGACGTTGACAAAAGATGCTAAGCAGATTGTTTCTGAACCTCCTAAATAGATGACCAGATGAAACGAGTAGATGCGCCGAGAGGCCTTTCACCATGAAACGAAGCCCGTGGGAGCGCACAGAAAACGTCGACGACGGCACTTCGAGAAGGGGAGGTGAAGCTTCTGGCTTGCTTAAAACGATCTGCCAGGACTTTTGAGGTGTGAATCTCTAAGGATATGATATCGAACAACGGAAATGTGAACACGGCCAGAGAGCCCAAGATCCAAACGAAGCTCTTCCGCAAATCTGGGCCAAAAGCGGAGGGAGCAAATTCTGCAAACCAGGTGGATTCTCAATTTTGCGACTGAAAATTTTGCGGCACCTTTGTGAGACCCTGACATTCACATTTGGATCTGCTGAGTCCGCTGATTCTACGCTACCCTTCCAGCTCATTCCTGTGTTTGGAAAAGTCAGGACAATTCCACACTTCGAGGCCTCCTGAATCCATCATCTCTTCGGCCCCTCTGCAGAAGTGCTTTTAAATCATCACTTAGTGGCACCGCCTTTGCTGACAGTGCAGAAGACTTTACGTGCATCGGCTCCGGTTTGATCGTGTTGAGGGCTTTGAGGCTTTGTTGCACCAAAAACAATGTGGATCTATGAAGACTGCACCAGGCTCAGCTAGAAGCGCGTCTTTTCGTCAGTCTTGACAACTTTTGGACCCACCATTTTCTCATCGCCGCCCGCCCCACGTCCATCGTCCTCTGCCGTTCGGCCTGCGCTTCGAGCACCTTTCTCCGCGCGGCGTCTCGTTCTTTTTGTACCTCGATACTCACCAGCTCGTCCAGTGGGACGGCCAGCGCCTGTGCCCTCGCCGCATCCTTAGTGATGATCGTCTTCGGTTTGGACGGGGCCGGAGGCTTTTCGGATGCCGGCCCCTGCAGTTCACGAGCGGAGTTGGGTGACTTCATTTGCACAATCGGATCACTTACGAGAAATCGGGCTTAGAGCCGGATGGATTCATCTGCCAGCGCTTGCGCCTTCGCCCTGCCCTTCGTGATGACTGTCTTCTGTTTGAAAAACAGCGCCGGAAGCTTTTCGAACGCCGTCCCTCGGGCTCGCAATTGCAGCTGGGGGACGTCATTTGCAGGAGTACGCGAGGGTCAAGGGACGTCCAATCCAGAGCCAGGGAAATTCTTAGAATGTGATCTCACAGATGGTCGATCTCAGAACACGGTTCGATATTCTCAGAATGATGGCTCATGGGCTAAAACCGCATGTGACTGGACTCCATTTGAGAACACTGCTGCACTCGGCAGCATAATCAATGTAACCATGCTCAATTCTGTGTCAACGATTCAGAGCTCGTCTTATACATCTATGCATATTCGTCCCCATGCAAGTGGCCCGGTATCCTTGAGATTACTATTATCCAAAGAGCAAAGAAAAGAATCAGCGTTGTGCTCACCAGCTTTCCCTGACGTCCGGACAGCACAGCTTGCCGTACGGATTGTTTTCTGCGAGTTCGATTCAAAGGTGGCGGGGGCGGACGGGCGGGGTCGAGCGCTCGGAGTTGGCAGTCCAACCACCTGCATACGATATGAAACAATTGTTACCTGTTTTTATCCTTAGAAAGGAATATTATGACTCCTTGGAACCTTGAATTCGAGTATCTTTACGTGTTCGTCGGGGGTGGAGGAGTCACACATGGAAGAGTCAGGTATGTCAGGTGCATAAAGACTGCCACCAATGCTAAGATAGCCGCAGCTCTCAGTAAGTAGAAACTCTGGAAGACCAGCACGGCATGAACGGTCTTTGAAAAGCACTGCTGCACATGCAAAGTCAACCCCTCAAGTTTGGAATGTTGTGTGTAAGGAACAAAAATGGTTGCTGTGTAATGGCCTTTGACAGACCAATCTCTCTAGTTGGTCATAATTCCTAACAATGACTGTTAGCCGCCTAGGCTGAATTCCGGCAAGTCTGGAGTGCATCACCGGAGCATTAGACCTGGTCTGTCTGGCACAGTAGAACTTCTCTTACATTTCTTGGAAACGTCTGACTTCCTCCAGAACCGGCTAGAAGTCTTTTGTGTAGGAACTCAAGAACAGGCAACACGCGTCAACTGACCGAAATCTTTATAAGATCATATTTGTTGTATACATGGCAGTCTACAGCAAAACCAGTTAATAATGATCTCTGAGAACCCGGCGTCTGAACACTGCAAGTATGGATAGTAAGAGTACTTACACCTGCACTTAGCGTGACATTTCTGGAGGCCACAATCTGTAGCATTCCCTGCAGAAGTCTAAGCGCCACCACAACAACAAAACATAAGGAAGGGGCTAAGGACGTCGTGACAAGACCAAACTTACCAGAACCGCATCACCGCCCTCCCCTCTTCCATCTCCATCCTGCGTGCAAATTCTTCGGCTTGGGCATAGTTCAGATCAGCAATCTCAGCTTCCTTCTCCGCTTGTTGTAATCGCAATGCATACCACCTGAAAAAGATAATGCCAGGAAAGACAATGTAAGGAAGGTGGCAAGGGCACAGGCAAATTGAGGGTTAGCCAATTCCACTTTTTGCCATCCCTCTTGATGCCAAGAATACACAGAGGCCATTCAGGTTCTCAGGCAAGCACAGCCGCACCTGCAAAGCCGCTTTTGCCTGTTACAAGGACCACTCTACTCTTTGTCTTTGTGTACTGATTGCTCAATTGCACACAGCTTTTAAAATGTTTGCAACAACTGCTTCATTTGCAGACAACTATGCTAAACCATCCTGCTGGTGTGCCACTTTGTTTGCAGCCACCGAGGAAGATTGACCTGAAGTTTAAGGATGTCATCTAGTCCATGTTGTAATCACTTTCTGTGACCTCCAGGAGAAACTTGCTGGGACCAAAAGTAATGGCTGCTTCACACAAGCACCTCTTGCAACTGTCTGCAGAAACCAAGTGATTTCCAGAATTGGTCCGTGTCATCTGAATGAACTTGCAGCTCCAGCTTCCAACCATGACCAAGCACAGCCAGGACTTGCTTGTTTAACTTTGAGGACATCAGAATGAAGAAAAAGATAATACCACCACCCTTTTCATTATTGCCAGGCTGATCACCAACGTATTGATTGCCACCCCTGCCAATGAAATAGACTGGACCCTCGGACGACATCAAACAATTGCCACAACGCCAACCGATACCTGGCGAGCTGCCTTGATGGCACCAAGCCAATGTTCAATACTTGGCCAGCTTACCAAGCCCTCATTGCTGCCCGTCCTCTTCTCATACGTGCCTCCCGCCACATGCCTTCGAGATCGAATTCTGCAGACCCTTCTGTGGAGGATTGAGCAGCTGAAGCAGCTCGCGTGACCCCATTCTTTGCTGATTGGTGTGCATAGCTCTGATTTACATAGAAGAGTTTCAAACGAGCGCCCACACAAGCTCCCTTGGAGGATCCTGGAACCAGGAAGGACCTCTGTTGGATGCAGAGCTGCGAAGACGCCATCCTTCGAAGTGCAATTGGCGCCCTACTACTACTAGTGCTGCATTTGCTGCTGGCATCAGCAGGTTTCTTCAATGGCAGGCTGTGGAATTACCCTAATCTGGAAAACCCGTAGAATGTATAACCCAGGACCCTTAACTGCTCAAACCCTGGCTGTAGCCCGGGCAATCAGCGGGTTTGCGATGCTAACCCCTTTCCGCACCCGGTCTATGGTAGAACTGCTGCTGTGCACGATGAACAGCAGCAGGAAACAAAGACTACTACCTGTTATTATATACTTGAGTTGAAGCAAGAAACAGGAGGAGGGCGCTTCTGAGCAATTGAATGTGAGCCCTGTCCTTGTGCAGGCCAAGTCAGCTCACTACGTCGGAGGCTGGGTGTCCCGTGCCAAGTTTCAGACTAGACGGAATTGTTAGACAGAAAGCGTTAAGCGTCTGCAAGACTTCTGTTCAGTGGTGCAAAAGCACTCCAAGAAGCACTGCGAGTTCGCTTTAACCTCATTGTCCAGTTAGGCTTTTCCTGGGGTTTTTTGCAACAGGGGTGCAGATGGCATTGGAGGAGGAAGAGGAGAAGTCTAAGCCCCCGCGGCGCACATCGTCGAAGTATGACTTTGTGAAAGTGAAGGTGTGGATTGGGGAGAATTCAGATCATTACTATGTGCTTTCACGCTTCCTTGTGAGCAGAATGTTGACAGTTACAAAGGTAAGTACAAGCTCCTGTGGAAGGAAAAGTATCTCTTTTGGTCGCTATTACAGAACTTATTCTTAGTCTTGCCTCGTTTGCATTAGTGAGCCTCATGCAATACAACTGTGACCCCTCTATATACCAGACGTCCAGCATAAGACTTCTCACAGGGTTTTTCAACGTCCTGAGGGACGAGGAGTTTGATGTAGCTCCTTTCTGACCTTTCAATGGTACAAATGAAAGGGGAATAAAAGCGAAGTACATTTACATCCTCTCTTTCAACCAGAACTTTCCAATTAAGAAGGCTTGGTGTCAACCATCGATTTGAGACTTCTCAAGATATCCAAAGCTAATCCGCAGTAAAACAATGAAATCTACAACTCTGTCGGGAATCTGGTGAACAAGTCGCTCAAGGAGACCAAAACTGTCAGCGGGGCTCCCATCTTGAGTAACTCAACTAGGGCGTAAAGTGTCTTGGGAAGGCAAATGACAGACAAATCAGCCACTGCAACTTTTCTCCGCAGATCTCCAACGTTGTGGCCATCAAGATTGCCTTGGAACTGAAGAAGCTCTTGGTGGATAACAACCTCCTAGATGTTTCGCAAGCGGACCTGGAGGCCAATCTATTCAAGCTCATGCAGAAGCGTGGGTATGGTGAGGAGTATGTCAACCGCTACAAGATGATGACCAAGTAAGTCCTGTTGCTTTCTTCCGAGGTGAGGGTTCCAAAGGCGTATTACTTCAAGATACTTTCTCAAGACTTCCTCAGGAAGGCCGCAGTAGAGTTCATTCTTTCAGATCAGGTTACCTTGTTCTGCAGACCGAGGATGTGCTTGCTCAGCACTCCGCATCTGCACTCTGCTCAATGATGCCACTGCCATTCTCCACCTGCCAAAAGCCTCATCCTCTGTACTTACAGCTTTCTGTTGTAAGATATCTGGCCTGGATCGTTTGCTGTTTGATGCAAGATATATTCTCAAAGGATGGAACAACCATTCTCCTGTATGCAGCTCTTTAACCGTCCTTTGTAATATCGAGAGTAATATTTTCCCACCACGAGACCCTTGTGGTTAGCAAGTGTAACAAGCATAGACATTTTTACCCTGCAGCTTCCATCATCAGCGAGTGCCTCTGCTCGTTCTCGTGGGAGGGACCGCCTGCGTTGGCAAGTCGACGATTGCGACACAGCTCGCACAGAGACTGAACTTACCAAACGTATTGCAGGCAAGTCGATGTGACGTCATTGGTGCAGTGATCGAGCCGCTTGTGCAGATCAAGCACTCTTTGAGACACGCTGTTGGTTATCGAAGCTGCCTGGACAATTCTTTGAAGCTGCCTTATAAACATCACGAGCTAACCGCTACAAAGATTTTTCCACACCTGTTTCGGTTGTAGTTTATGGTCAGGAGCCGCCTAGACTGAGACGATATTTTGCTTCTACTGAATTTGACCTCCTCGGTTTGGATCGAAATTCCCGTAACTGTTCTCCTCATTACATAGCAACCGCGCACAGGGGGCTTTGATTCTGTGAGCTCGTTTTTTTAGCTCATTCCCGCGTTTGCTTGTCGACTCCATCAGTCATGCACTATACATAACGGTGAGCCCTTCAGACCCTTCATGCTCACTTCGCACCACAGGGTGTATGTTTCGTGCCAGCCATTTGATTGACTGACTCTGACGTCGTGGCTCTTTGGCAGACTGACATCATCTACGAGCTCCTCCGAACGGATCCACACAACGCAGCGCCTCTGAACGCCATGCCGCTCTGGGCTCGCTCGGACCTCACGACCACCGAGGATTTGATGCAGGAGTTTCGGCGGGAGTGCAGAGTGAGTTGCCAAACACCAGGGTTTTCTTTAAACGGCAGACTCGTTTCTCCTGACGTCCTTTGTATGGTGGACATTTGGGCTGCGGGGCGAGTCTGTTCCGCATAATGTTAGTTCTCAGTTGACTTGGTCTGCGGCACCTTCCGGGAAAAGGAAAAGAAACGCTGCGTTTGAGACCTGATGCCTCGGTTGCACTGCGAAAGTTCAGAGCGCGTGCCAGCCGAGCTGAATATCCTTGAGCGTGATGCCGCTTTTGGAATTCACCGCGGAAGGTCGTTTATGAAGTCCAACACCCTCTTTGACGAATAGCGAAGCGGAGATTTTTACGAGGCTCCTCTAAAGGCGTCTGCAAGGACTTTGTGACAGCTAACTAGACGCTTCTTTTCAAGGTGATAACCTTGTCATTTTCTTTTCAGACTCAATCGTATCTAAATTGGCGCATATAGTACAATGAAACCGGCGAACGACCTTCTGTGGAGGGTCTACTTTGGATGGAGCAAATATACGTTTTGTGTCTTGCAATACTAAACTCCTTCTGCCGTTGAATCAGGCACAGACGTCCTTTTGCTTGGACTCTTGCGTCTTGGGAAGTTCGGCGAAACCGCGCACTTTCGTCGAAATTTTTTACATCTCTCGTGCTCGCTTTTCGAACCATTTGATCGCATGAAGACAGATTGGATTTGTTCGACGAACCGGTGAAGTAAGTTCTGCTCCGCTCAACAAGCCGTGAATCTTGGTGAACAAGTCGTTTGGCTCAATTCTTCAACAGGTCAATCTACCGGATCAAAACAAACCGAAAGCTCTTACCCCACATATTCATGCGGTCCGCACCCAAACCCACCCTAATTACCGAGCAAACCCAACTCGTCCCCCGGGTTTGGCCTCTTACTTCTTAGTTTCGAGCACTTTCATATTTCCGCCGTTAGGTAATCCGAAAGGGCGTGGACGGCGACCTGACGAAGACGATGAGCGACGGCAAGCCGCTGATCATGGAGGGGCTGCACCTAGACCCGGGCATCTACCTCACCGAGCTCCCTCAGGCGCAGATCCGGAAACCTGCAAAGCACGAAAAGTTGCATCCAAGCGAGAGCTTGAGAATGGCAGATAGAAGAAGAAGAAGACGCGAGGACAGCGGGGCTGGCGAATTGCTTCAGCCTGGTGAGGAACGGGAGTCGTTGCGTCAGAACGGAGCGGGGCCGGAGTTGAAGCGCGGGAAGGATCTGCTGACGTCACGGAAGGATTTGCTGACGTCACGGTCTGCAAACGGGCGGACCGACGCCAGGCGGGGGGTCTCGGTGCACGGCGGCGCGCATCTGGACAGGCTGGCCGTTGCGAACGACCGAAAGCAGCGGCGTTCAAAGAGCAGGCTGGGGGGGAATACTTTAGCGGAGGCGAAGGAGTTCCTGCTCTCGCTTGCCGAGCGAAATCCGCCGAGGGAAACGGAAAAGGTGACCGGAACGGGCGTGAAGCGGAGCGTGAGCAGCTGCCACGTTGCTGGGGAGTGGGAGGCCAGCCCCCGTGGGGGCCGTGGGCCGGCGAACGCCGTGACGTTGGAAGTACGTCAGCAGGCAAGGTCAGATGTGAGGGCGGACCAGTCCGCGAGAGCTGAGGTTGACGAAGCAACCGGGTTGCTAAATCAATCCCTAAAAGATAGTCCGCCCGAACTTTCACAACCGGAGCGTGGCACAGCTGGACCGTCCGATCTTGGTGTAGCAGTGAACGAACGGTCCAGACCAGGAGTTGACGCGTCCGAACACCTCGGAACTGGGGGTAGTGCCTCTAGAAGGGCGAGGTCTCGGTCCAGAAGAACGTCGGACACAGCACGGGAAGCGTCCGAACGGTCCGAAAGCGGCAACGTTTTGAATGGTCGGTCCGAAAGAGCGAGTCGGCGGTCCGAGAGGGCTTCGGACGCTGAAAGGAGAGCGTCCGAAACGGAACGGACGGAGCGGAACGGAACCGAGGCGCAGCACGAAGACCCGATCGTGGTCCAGATTGTGCTACGCATGAGCGAGGACGACCACCGGACGCTCGTCGAGGAGTGGCTGGCGTCGCGTAGCGGGGAAGTCGCGGGTGATGTCGCCGTGAGTGGCAGCTGACGTCATGATGCTTGCAGTTTCCGACGTGTTCCCAACATTGAAGAGCACGGCAGCTGTTAAAATATGGCGATGCTCTTGCGTTTTGAAAATGCAAAATAAGGCCCAGCCACAGATGCTGATATCAGCATTCTTTCGGGATCCAGTGCAAGTTATTGAAGGCACTGGGAACGCTGTAGCTGCGGGTTTGCTAGTCATCCTCTTCTGCGATTGTGGTTTGAAGCGAGTCAAAACAGCGGCTGCCTGGCTCGTAAATCCGTCGAGGATCGCGCGCTCTTCAGAAAGTGCAAGATCTTCTGACGGTCCATTTACCACTTTTTTTTACTCGCTTGATTGCCGTAAGCAGCGGACAAAGCGGGACTTTCCCACGTACACTTCTTGAAAGCTTTGAAGGCGAGAACAAACGTTGCTTCCAGGCAGCAATCTGATCCGCCGACGAGCGTCTTATAAGAGCGTCCTTTGATGACGGAGTTGCATGATTTGAGTAGGCGACAGAGAAGCCCGCCAGTACGTTCTTTGTCGCCCTGAAATTGCCGCAGCGCTTTGCCTTAAGCAGTCCAGGAAGTTGCACAGACGCCCCCTCTAAATAGCCCCGTTGGCTCGAAACCGACGGTCCCGTTTGCAGTTGGACAAGGCAGCCGTGCTTCAGAAGCTGCGGACGATTCAGGACTACCTGTGCTCTTTTGAGGACCACGGGGTCGCGGTCGTTGACGTCAGCACGACGTCATTCGCGCAGACGCTGGACTGGCTCCACAGCTACCTGCTGGAGGTAAGCGCGTCACAAGACGATTCGAGGTTCCAAGGATCAGGAGTGAAGCTGCTCTGACGTTGTGCCGCTGGTAACATGCGGAGCAACAAGGAGTTTTTTCCAGACATTGCCTGATTCTATCCGTAAGGGTTTGTTTGTATAAGTTTGACTACTTTTTACGTTTGTGAAACTCTACATGGGGTTGCGTTGGTGAGGCTTTGGCTTCCGGAGTGAAACGAAGGACTTCGCTATCGGGTTTTCCGGCACCATTTCTTTCAACAAATTCACGAAAGTTTGAAACGAAGAGCATGCGACAAAGCTCAAGCTTTCTGTCGGTTAAAGTCATTCTTTAAAAAGTAGAATACTCTGAAATGGCGTCCATGTGTAACGCCGAGATACTCTGGAGGGTGCGGAGTTTGCTTCTATGAAAGATCGAGACCTCAACGGAAAAGCTGCGAGGTCTAAGAAGGGGCCTGGCAAGAAAGACTTAGAAGACGACAATGGAGGGCTGGATTCTTTATCAAATGTGGAGAAGAGCCCTTTGGGCTTGAGCCGCGACTCGGGAAGCAGGCGGAGTTCAGCGCTGCAAAGCAGCGTGGTCTCATTCTTTAGTGTGACGTCCTGCTTGTGTTGGCTTATCGGCAGCGCCTGTCAGCAGATGACGTCTTGAGGGTTTCTCCCGCTCCTTGAGATTCACAAATGTTGCAGGAGACCGACCAATATCAACCGGTTGACCCCTTTCCTTTGTTTCTGTTCCTTACAGTGCATAGAGGGTGGCTGGTCGGGGGCAGAAAGCTGACGGGAAACAGATTCTGCGCGTTTCGTAGTGTAGGAAGACGGTTGCGCCTTGCTTACTGGATCGATGGGATGGATGCTCGCAACCGGAAGATTAACGTACTTTTGTATAGGTACCGGGCTGTTGAGAGATCGAGCAATATGAGCTTCAGAATACTTCATCAGTCATCGAGCGACCTCCTCAACGGTCGTATAAGAAGCGGCTGCATGGGTGTAGCGATTTGGCTTCGAGTTATGAGTACGCTGACATGCATCTGCTGAGATCATCGCTTTTTTAGTATCCACTTGCCAGCGACTGCGTCATGGACAGTTCCCGACCAAGGGCATGCGACATATACTATTGGACTGTGATGCCAGGCCGCTCGTTCCTCCACAGAAGGTTCTGCAGAACTTGATCTCGTCGCCATTTGGCGGGAGGCACGTATGCAAAGAGGATAGAGGTAGAGGCTGCTACCTGTCAAAAGTTGTTTTTCAAAGCTTCAATTGAGACGTTTAAATACGATCAAAATTGGTAGACGTTAAAAACGACTAGCGCACAAGCAGCAGAAATTGAACAGGTTATGCCAGGTACTAGTTGCGAGAGAGGGCCGCAGCGGTATATTACCTATTAGTACGCTACTTTTGCAACTCCAGTATTGCATAGCCCAATTCAGTCGATTATGGTCACCTTGGCGTGGTGAGTCAGGCGATCCGCTCGGCTGTACCAGGCACCTAGCAACTCCTTGAGGACTCCCTCAGCAATGTATGAATCAACAAAGTAGCCAGGACACCCAATGTCAGGCCAACGTTGATGACGTACGGCGCCGCCGACCGTCTGATTGTACGCACCACCTTTGAAAAAGAAACAACGTTTACAAGGCCCCGACTTGCAATTAGAGATCCACTTGCGATTGTCACCTTCGCTAACTTAAATACATTGTGTGTGTAACTTAGGTTCCCGCCGGCCCTGAAATTTACAGCACACTGAGTCATCATGCACTTGGTCAGTCACGCGAGACAAAGGCGCCAAGCTTCTAATCCGACTGATGCGTGTACATTTGACAGCCAGGTGCAGTCGAACCTTGCCGCACGGGTTCGTGACAATTTTTCCAATGATGTTGTATGATCCCTATCAGAAGTTGCATCTCAAGTATCCACCATATATTTTCCATGATCGACGTGACCAGTGTTAAGATCATGTGCGTGACCAATATTTTCGCTCCTTAATGCTAGCCTCCAATTCGAAACACACTCGAATCACAAACTACAACTACAAGTACAACACGCAGCTCTTACAATATCATCAGATGAATTGTGACAACGTGTTGTTCCATATTCAGAATATGCGGCGACCATCGCCCACGCCGCCGGCCTCTAATGGTCGCTCTGCTCCGTCAGCTTGGATCCTCAAAGACGGAGGTCGGGTCCATCGGGTTGAACGCGTAGAGGGAGTGCCCTCCGTCCACGGTGATGTTGACACCAACTAGATGGGCGGACGCTTTTTCCGACGCCAGCAGGAGCAGCACGCCCATCATGTCGTGCTCGGTGTCGCCCCACCTAGTTCGACGAAAGACGAGGTGAGTTATTGAGCTTGAAGCGACCCAGATTTAGCTGAAGAGAGAAACACCGACGTTGCACAAAAGGGCGGGTCAAGGCGTGCGGTGAGGCTGAAAGATGGACCGCGACAGATTATAACGATATCTTGTGAGCTGTATGAATTTTGATATTGCATCCGACTTGTCCTGAAACGACCGACGCTTGTAGCAAAGAGGAGGAACATGTGGCTGCGAGAAATGGTTTCGAACCAGAAGAGAATACCTAGCCTGACAAGCCGTGGGACAATTGTACTCAATGAAAGATTGATCGACGCTACGCAGCAAACCGGGGCGCCTGCTTCTGGTGGTAATTTCAAAGAGGAAGGAGACGGAATGATATGCCTCTGAGGAAGAAGGATGTAGCCCTCAGCCTTTGTAAGTTGGCGCATAAGCGCACTTGCGTCTTAAACGCAACCGCCTCGACTACCTTCAGCCTTTTGCCCAGACGCAAAACACCAGCGATTCAACGACTCAATCTGTTTGACAATTGAAGGACTACTCAACCTTCTCGTCTGACTTGATTAAGCGGCCGGGTCCTACAGGTCATATTGCAAGTAGAGAGGACGAAAGAAAAGCGCACCTGCGGTTGGGAATAGCCTTGAGCGCCTTCTTGCTGCCGGGGCTCTCCACGATTCCATCGGACATCTCGCTGGGGAAGACGCCGGGCGAGATCGCATTCACGTTGATGCCCTTCGGAGCCAACTCGACCGCCAAGGCCCTGTAGAGCCGAAATGAGAATAAAGTTTAGACACGGATTATGAGGTTTAGACCTTAACATATACAGGGTCGACTTCAGGCTTTTAGGGTCTGGTTTCTTCTAGTCCTTTTCGAGTTTGCCCAGAGACGAGCGAGGCGTGTTAACCTCTGTGAGCTTGGGATGTTTCTTTCCAATTTAAGCGCATACGTGAGTGCGTTGCTTATGGTGCTTCTTCTCTATGGCCCCATATTGGTCGCGAGACTTTCAGGCGAGCACTTGAGCGACTGGAACGAGACATCCGACAAGCAGTCGCAGCAGGCCGATCTTGTTGCGAGACAGTGAGGGATACATCAGGGGGGAATGTATCCAAGCTGTAGTAAGTCTGATTCTTGGCTACCCTCTTACGGCCAATTGCAGTCAAGACCACTTTCCCTTCATGGGCAGTTGACGACCTTTCAACATTGAGCAAAGAAAAGCTGACTAGACCCAGTGACCCAAGCACCAAGTTACTCAACCAGACACACTAACCAGCCAGCAACCTGGCTTCACCGGAACTTCTATTTGCTCTATGATCGAGTGACACCACGGCCACCTTGTTTGACGAGTAGAGCGCGGTACTGGGGGAATGATTAAGATCAATAAAGAGACAGTAACCAGACATTAGGCAGGCATCAAACCAGCTACTAACCAGCTACTAACCAGCTACTAACCAGCTACCTACTAACCAGGCATCAAACCAAGACTGGTCCCTTTCTGCTGCGACAGTTAAAGCAGCTTACTTGGTCAGCGAAACCACCGCCGCCTTGGACGACGAGTAGATCGCGGTGCCGGGGGGGCTCACGGTCGCAGCAATCGAGGCCGTATTGATGATGCGGCCCCTGATGCCCTTCTCAATCATGTGCTTCGCCACAGCTTGAGCGGTGAAATACATGCCGCTGACGTTGACGCCGTATGAGGTGTCAAACTGCTCTTGGGTGTCGTCCAAGACGCTTCCGCCAGTAAAGACCCCCGCATTGTTCACCTGGAGAAGAGGAAGTTGGGACAGTCAGGAGGGAAAAGGACAGAGCAGAAATAAAAGAAAGTGTGGAGACAAGGGTGCTGGGGATGACCTCTTGCTGGAGAAGAGCACATTGGAACAGTCAGGAGGGAGAAGGGTGACAGAGCAGAAATGAAAGAAAGAGGGGAGGCGAGGGTGCTGGGAGTGACGTCTCGTTGTGCAACCAGATACTTGCCGGTGTAAAACTGGAACTACCTGTTGCAATCATGACAAGTTTCGCTGAATTTTAACAAACCTATTGACTCCAGCAATTTGAGTATGACGAGACATTAGAGAGAACATTATCTTTTGCCACGCTCAACACAGGGACTGGTCTTCATCTGGGCTCAAATTTTACCAGAATATCAATCTGGCCATAGACTGCTGCGGCATTCGCAACGGCCTCTGCAATATTTTCTCTGCCTTTGGAGACGTCCAGATTGATTGCAGCGGCCTCCCCTCCGGTGGCCTTGATATCCTGCAATGAGATGAGGCAAAGGCTATAAGCTCTCTAAAGGTCTGCTAACTTTTGGATCATCGTGAACATGGAAGCATGTCAAGAAGTGAACAGCCCATCTGAGTGAGAATATGGAAGCCTGTTGGAATCTGAAGTGCCCGTCTTATTATGAACATGGGATTGACCCTGCTGATTCTCTGAATATTGCATATCAGAAATGTGACATGGCAAGAAGCTGCATTGTGAACAGATAGCCCGACTCAAATCTCTGAGAGCAGGTGCTTAGACCGGCGTACGTACCATATTGAGTGCAAGCCCAAATGTCAGCAGAAAAGGCAAAAGAGCGGAGAGGCCTCAGTTCATAACATTTTTGAGTAGGATGCTTCAGAAGGAATCCAGACACTCAGCGCTCTCGAAGGTATGCCTGCCCTGAAGTTTTGTAGCCGCAAGCACACAGCAGAAAACACTCGGTCACACATCGTCTTCTGGACAATTCACAGAGAGTGCTCTCAATCACAGACGTGTGAGAACGATTCTCAGCTAGAGATCAAAGAAAAAATATCTCCGTTGCCTCATGGCACTTAATGCACTTCCCAATTTGAGGACCCACCAGCTCTTAGGTTGCG